ACTACACTACACTACACCACACCACACCACACCACACCACACCACACCACACTACACTACACTACACTACAATTATGTTTTAAATTATTGTTTTTGGTACAAAATACAAAAAATGTGTTATCTAGTACATGATTTGTTCAACCCACTTCTGTGAAATAAAATGACCTCTTGAAATTTTCGCGACCTTATCATTGGTCGGACAATTTTTTATTGTGCGAAGCAACACCACTGAGATATAATACTTTCATTTTAATATAGATGGAGCGCTCATCAACATTACTGATATTATAGTGCAAACAAATAACATTCATCCATAATATGTGTTTAAAGTGGTAAACAACGATTGAAACTGCGCAACAAAGAATGGTCGATACGATAGTATCCTGCCATTGTCGACGAGTCGCGCCTTCATTTGCCTTGTGTAATCAGTATCGTCGTCTACAATCTATTCGCGTTGCCTCGTCAGTTACTCGATGTATTGCTTCATGAATTGCCTCGTGGAAATACAGCTCAAAATCTTTGTTAAATATAACGATAGCATTCACAAATTCAGCAAGGCTGTTAAAAATAAAACTATCACTAGAACTTGTCAATGGTAGCTTTTTAAAATGAGTCTTGTTTTTTGTAATCTCGGAATGCTCTTATGATAAAGTGAAATTGTATCGTTAAAACAGAGAACGTACACCTGACATTACTTGATGGTTACATTCTAGTAATGCACGTACTACTTTACCAATAGCCCTGTTATTACACTGAATACTAGTATTACTTTCTTGCATCTGAGGGTATATATATAAGTATTCAATATCCTCAACTATGTGATGTTGATTTCATGAATGATATTTTTGACGAGTTCTAAATATGACTTAATTATGAATTAAATTTATTTATATGTGAGTATTTTATTATTCACAGTGTTTAGAATGGTAGCCATATATCATCAACATGTAATTTCATTTTTATTACTACAGTCATATGGGGATAACTTCCAAGCTCTGCTCTGGTGGCAATGTTGTATAATAAATTATAATACAGTACAATTTCAAAATAAATCTTGTTTTTGTTTTCATTTGTAGGTCATTACCAATGTAGTAGTGAACAATTCAGATGCGCATCGGGTAGCGGCAGTGGAATCTGCATCGATGGCAAACGTCAATGTGACGTAGTGGAAGACTGTTACGCTGGAGAGGACGAGCAAAACTGCGGTATGTACCTGAAACCGCAATGGTCTTCAATTTTCGGGCAAAATTTATGTCAAATCGATATCCTTCAATATGAATTTGCGTAACTCGAATTGTCATAACACTTTTTTGTTAGTAACAAACATGTGCGTTAATGATGATATTATTGATAATTTATAACATTCGCCAATGGTCACACATATTGTAAACTACATTAATGAACAATAATTGTACTTTACTATCTCTGCAGATTACGAGTATGAACATAGCGCTGTCTGTACTGGTTTTTACTGTGACGATGGCATATGTCACCCGTTATCTAACAAGTGCAATTATATAACTGAATGTATGGATGGCAGTGATGAAGAGGATTGTAAATATCGTACGTATAGTCGTTATAAACTGTCACCGTAACACACCAATACACTTGCCTACGAGGACAATTTCAGTTCTACAATTAATTAGTATTAGTATGTTAATTTATTATAAATGAACCGATTGTTAAATGAAATTCAAACCAATAACGAAATGCGTGAACAAATTGTAAGTGTTCTTATATATACCTACGATTTAACTTTAATTTTGCAGGCCACTGCCAAGATTGGGAGTTCCATTGTGGGAATCAAAGATGTATAACTTCGGACAAATTATGTGACTGGAAAGACGATTGCGGCGACCAAAGTGACGAACAGGACTGCGAATATCGTAAGTCATTGTGCGCGACACATTGCCCCTTTTCTATGTAGTATTAGTACACACATTTACTTTGACGGCAACATTCATAGTCATCGTGCAGCGCGTGTTCGTGTAAACAATGTTTAAAACACGCGTCGTACAAGTCTCGTGAGACCAATATTAACCAGGAAGCGGCGAGACGACTGTGGCGCTATAATTATTACAGAAATGGTGTTGTTTCCCTCTATTAGGAGATTGCAACGAGGACGAGTTCAAATGTTTTAATGGGCAATGCATATATGCATGGCAGCGCTGTAATAGCTATATTGATTGCATCGATTTAAGTGACGAGGATCAATGTCCAGGATTGGAATTATGTAAGTAATGATATAATTACTACATGGTGTACTTGCATGTATATCATTAGGTAACACAGTACGTGTGTGTGTGTGTGTGAGGGGGGGGGGCAGCATCTTGGTTGGATGTATTAACGTTGCATTCACACTGTAAATATGTGAACCTGCTATAGAACACGCTAAAAACGTTAAATGTGTAAATGATGTTTTTCAAAACAATATATGACCTAATTTAGAAGGGTCGCTTAAATTAATATTTTTTCATTTAATTTATTATTACCAATCCACAATCTCAGCATTGTATATCGAATCTCGTGATTTTTTTCTAATAATAACATGAAACCTCGTAATACGAAATGTCATGAAAATATCACATATCTAATAACACGTGGTCATGTGATATTGATATTGGTAAATTGATGATTTATTTATTTCAGACTGTTTAGACCGGAACGAAGAATGCAGGTACTGGGCCAGCAACGGAGAATGTCAACAGAATGAAGTTTTTATGAAAATTTCGTGTCCACTAAGTTGCGGCTGGTGTGTTGGAGAGCAAGGTGATTAATCGTTTTCCGTCGGTTCATTAAAGTCATCCTATTATAACTTCGTTAGACGGAATAAACATAAACAAAGAAATCGAAACAGAATCAATATCAGCATTTATGAATGTACTTTTTGTTTCAGCAACGGTTGATGAAACAGGACAGTGTCCCAAAGGATACTTCACGTGTAACAGTGGTTTTTGTATTGATGAGATCCATGCATGTAATGCTGTACCGGACTGTCATGATGCTGAAGACGAATTTTGGCCAAACTGTGTGTATCAATGTACGTAACATTTATTATTATACATCTGTCATCGTAACGCCATAAGTTACAGCGTGCTGTAATTTTGCGGGGTATTTTCATCCTACCATATAAGGAAATGCGAATTCCAAATACGGAATGATTACGCGCGTAAGCATGCTCTAATAATAAAAAAACAAACATGGCTGCCATCAGGGTTTGACCGGACTCCACACAAACAAGTTTTTGGTTTCGACATTCCCATGATATATTCTTGGAAGGAAAAGATGTATAATAATAAGGTTATTACGAGAATACCTCAACGTATGCACTCAGACAGTACGCCGCGCATTGACCTCCGCTGCGCGTCGGTCGATACTCCTGCCGTACTGTCTTCGTGCATACTTTGAGGAATTCTCGTAATAACCTCATATTATTTTCTACATAAATAATTCACAGCTTTACGTATTTCTACTTCGTGGTCAATCAATCAATTAATTAATTAGAATCGCAGTATCAATCCTCACATTTACTGAGAGTTTTCTTTTTAATTGATCAAAATAGCTAGCCGCCCAGAAGCTCTAGATGTATTCCATGGTAACTGGAGTGACATTTTCAGAGAAATCAGTACAGACGCCGATGTTTTTGACGAGTTCGAGTACACGGTTTACAAAGATCCAATGTTTGATCGCGTCAGGAGGGAGGAACCGCCGGATTGGAACGGATTTGTCACGTTCAGCTCCACGCCGGATTTCAGTGATCTTAGGTCTATCTTGAAACTGAAAAGAAACGAATTGAAGGAATACGGACATAAGCCAGAGGATTTCATATTACAATGTTCGTATGCCGGGGTTAAATGCTCTTACAGGTATGCTCTACAGACTATTTGGTGGCGTGGGGAATTGCTGCTTAGGGGAACTTGTTCTTATTTCACTCATGACGATAAATTCCATTATTTGGAACTCGCAGTCAACACTCACTAATTAGTTTGTATCAGTTTGCAAATCAAAAAATCTCTATACTGTTTATTCAAATGAGTGTAAACTAGCACACTTGATGTACTTTTGGGATTAGAGAGATTGGAAGGGTTGGTAACGATAAAGATCGAAACTATGATAGAAAAACTCGCAACACGTAACACGCAACGTTGACACTGTATGTATTATTGTCATTGCAGTGATTTTCAATGGCTGCCTAACAGGGAGTTTGGGAATTGCTATACATTCAATGTGGCGTCCAATGGTTCGGAACCCAGGAGTGCATTTAACGCTGGCGCCGAATTCGGTAAGTGTGAATACATGCCCACAAAGTTACCATAATGTATAGAATTTGAATCTAGTTCTGTAAAATAATATCAGGAAAAAAATACCGACGCAATTAGTTGGACGGTTTGAAGTACTGCGAGTACTGTTGCAAATTGTTCAAAACAAAACGTCAAATAATGGATATCATATCGGCACAGGGTAGTATTAAGGCATACACTATAATAATAATAATAATAATAATAATAATAATAATAATAATAATACAGTTTTATTACACTGTAATGAAATTACAAATTCATTTTTGCCTGAAAGTAATAAAAGGTAAAGTAAAAAGGTAAGTAAAAAAACAAAACGTTAAAATAACAAAAATTATATGTATGGAGTTGTATTGTTTGGTTTGTGATACTGTACATATTGCTACTACTACGCCCAAGTTCCGGGAAACACCTTAAACTGGAAGCGATGGCTACAAAAAGTTGTGAAAACTGGGTAATACTGTGAATTTTAGAAAGACTACTAGTATAATTACGAGGTGCTGAATCTTATATTTTGGAGCACGTACAATAGATTACAGGTAGCACTATATGCGAGGGAGTGAACTTATATTTTGAAAAAAACTTGAATATAGTCTAGTCATAAATTCTCTGACAAATTTAGGCCATTTTTATTAGGTTTACCTCTCAGTACTTGTCCCACTTAAACTGTTGTATTTGTTAACTCGCTATCTTTATTTTGTATAACTGGTTTTCGTTGAGGGTTCTCATGTCAATTACGTTAATAAATCTCATTATTCACCATATAATAATAACACTGTTATTGCATTTTTACTAAATAACATATAATTGACTTTGGTAACGTTCATGAGAAAAATTGCCGTAATTTTACAGATAATTTGATTACAAAACATGGCATACATGACATTATCTTAGTCATCCTGTTATAAGAAGTGAATCATGTTCGCTCAGTTCATGATTCAATAAACTTCATTGTTCCCGGACCTTTGTGGGGCCAATTAGGGGCGTGTTATCGGGCGAATATTGCCTATGTCAGTCTAGTAAATTATCAGGGGTAAATTCTTCTCTGAGGGGTTCTCCACACTGTCAGGGGGGATTATCGTCTCGTCTCTCTATCGCGTCCCCTTGAGGTACGGGATCGGGAAAGTCACTTAAACTTTACAGTCAAATGAGACACACACAACAAAATACGTTTCAACTCTTGTCTTAGTCAGTCAGTCGAGCACTCTATAAGACACACGCCCTGGAGAAAAAGTCCCCAAGACTATCGCAAGGCTGACTCAAGACTTGCCCAAGACTGCGTCTCAAGACTCTCCCCAAGACTCTCCAGGACTAGACTGCCTCTGTCCTTGTTACTCGCCAAGACCAACTAAAACTCTTTATTCATTTTCAAAACCTTAACCAATTACAAAACAGAATTAAGACTCTAAGGCGTAACCTTCAATCATAAAGCCAATCACACTAAGTACTGAATACGTCATATCTTTTGATTAATCGTTCACTACATTAATAAATACGAATACTAAACTGTCAGAAATAGTAGTCCGAATAGCGACGGTTATCTCGTAATTAGTTCCAAATCGCTGAGTCGAGTTCCGTCCAGAACCTCGCCTAAACGATGACAGACATAACACAACCATTCACTCTTAATCAACTAATTATGTCGATCAACAGATACGCGTAAACAATTTCATCATACATCCCTTCACTCAAACTGAGCCATGCCTCCCGGTATTGCACGTTCATAAATCAAAGATACCG